GGTCCCCATCACGACATTCCCGGTGTACACTGGGCTCTCCGTCGGTGTGCAGAACTACACCTGTGGAGCCGACGGTACCTGGTCGTACGTCGAACATTCCCGTCTACTGCTGCTGATTTTGGCTCATGTTACTCTTGTGCAGTTCCATCGGCGCATTCTCCTACCTATACGACATCTCCTGCCTCCCGTTGGACACCCACAGGGCGTTCACGTCGTTCATTGCTGGCCTCTGGGATGCTGCGCCGCAGACAGTGACTGCCGCAGACCTCGTTACCATCACCAAGAACCTCAATCCCGGCGTCGGGCTCGGCGTCCACTACTGGGTCCCAGACCCGCTCAACGCGACAAGCGGCAGCACCTTCGCCAAATGGGACTTCAGCCAGTCCGAGCTGATGGTCAACGACACCAACAAAGTTAATGCCTTCCTCGTCGCGTCCAAGACCGGCAATGTCCCCGACCCGTTCACCCCGTCGGTGAACCTGAACTGGCTCGTCGAGTCCGCACTGGTCGTCGACGGAAAGAATGATGGACAGCTGGCGGACCAGGTGTTCAGGATCAACACGAACGGCGGACAGGCACCGAACACTGTACGCGATACCTCTTGTGGCTTATCCTGCTCCTGGCAGGGACTGATCTCATTTCCAGAGTTGCACTCCGAACGCCGATACCCTCCAAGTCAAGTCTACCATGGACTTCTGTACGTCCCTTGCCTCTTGATTTTATTTTTAACACGAAATGACGCTGAATTATACGTATTTACAGTATTCTACGGCGGAGCTTGGAACGATACCATCTTCTAGGCTGAAAAATTGCTGCCATAAGCGAAGCGGGTCCCATAGATGGCTTACTTCTTTGTATTGCGAGTTATGGTCGATGATACTAGTACATAGATATCTTGTATTGGTCTGGGCATTATGTTTGTAAAAGTCTTCGAAGATATACCGTCCAGTATATCGAATGCAAGGGTCGGGAGGAGACGGCTGGCGCCCCTGAAGAGATGGCTTATGTAAGCCCGCCCGCGGCCGCATTTGGATTGTGCTCCGCCGGGATTTGTCTTCCCCAGTGACCACCACCACCAACATTCTCTTATCTGTTCATTTCGTCATGAGCGAATGATTGTATGTTACTGGGGACTTCGTTATCCGGGGAAACGTTCCACTGCTTCCAGCCGCTTGGGCCGCACCGAAGTGCGGTCGATAGCAACTTCGAGACATGATCGTCGGAGGCTCGACGACTAGCCTGCATCCGTGTTGGTACGATGTAACGATGCAGGTGGCAAAGAAGCTGTTTTTCTGGTCGGCCTGTGATGCAGCCGTATAGATGCCGCGCGTGGCCCACCTGCTTGGGATTGTAGGTCCACGTTTACTCACCAGCTTAACGCCGAAGCATTCTAATAGACTGAGACATAAGATTGGGATATAAACATCGCTTGCCAAGCGTTCTTCGTATGCGCTTCTTCGACACTGCCAATTTTGTAAACTATCCGACTTTCACTTCCGTGCACACGTCCCTTCAGCCGCGATGTCCCGTGCTCGCCAGCTCAACACTCTCTGTCTCGCGAGCTCTGCGATGCTTTAGTAGGAATATGAAGAGGTCAGCGTCCTGCTCTGCATACACAATAGTGCCTATTAACCCTCGCGCTCGCGCTTAGAATGCGGCGGCTCGCTTATAACAACACTTCTTTGATCGATCTTACGACGTCAAAGAGGAAGTTCAATTGTACTGCGAAGAATTCTGCAACGTGAGTCCCGGTATATGGCTTGTACGCTCAGACCTGATCGCCCCGAAGTTTTCTGCAGTATATGCTCTCTGTGCTAATTCTCGAGTTCAGCGGCATCTATCTAGGTCTCATACGTTGGCTCTGACTACGCGATATGTCTTAGAATGGCACGATCGTGCATGCTTATAAACAGCGCAGCGTATTTATCAAGCGCTACGAAGACTTTGAGGAGACGCTGCCTCTGAATTTGCGTCGCTCAGTGCTGAAGCTGCTGTCGAGGGGCCCGACCTCTAACTCCCGCACAGCATTCGCCGACAAG